ATACTGTGGAGGTGGGTACCTGAGAGTAGTATAGGAGGATACTGTGGAGGTGGGTACCTGAGAGTAGTCTAGGAGAATACTGTGGAGGTGGGTACCTGAGAGTATTTTAGAAGGATACTGTGGAGTTGGGTACCTGAGAGTAGTATAGGAGGATACTGTGGATGAGGGTACCTGAGAAAAGTCTAGGAGAATACTGTGGAGGTGGGTACCTGAGAGTATTTTAGAAGGATACTGTGGAGGTGGGTACCTGAGAGTAGTCTAGGAGTAAGAGGATACTGTGGATGAGGGTACCTGAGAGTAGTCTAGGAGGATACTGTGGAGGTGGATACCTGAAGGATACTGGAAGGTGGGTACCTGAGAGTATTCTAGAAGGATACTGGGGAGGTGGAGCAGGAAAAGGGAAACCAGGACAAATTACGATATCAAAATCATGATTATTCCAGTCAGATACAAACTCTGTTATCAGTCTATCTTTGCTACCATTCACAAGCCATAGATCTCTAAATATAAAGAGTATTCACTAATAGATCTATTAATATACAGAGCATACACTGATAGATCTCTAAATATACAGAGTATGCACCAATAGATCTCTTAATATACAGAGTTTACACTGATAGATCTATTGATATAAAGAGTATACACTAATAGATCTGTAGATGTACAGAGTATACACTAATAGATCTATAGATATACAAAGTATGCACTAATAGATCTCTAAATATACATAGTATACACTAATAGATCTCTAAATATACAGAGTATGCACTAATAGATCTCTTAATATACAGCGTATGTACTAATAGATCTATTAATATAGAGAGTATACACTAATAGATCTCATAATATACAGAGTATGCACTAATAGATCTCTTAATATACAGAGTATACACTAAAAGATCTCATACAGAGTATGCACTAATAGATTTCTTAATATTCAGAGTATACACTAATAGATCTTTTAATATACAGATTATACGCTAATAGATCTCTAATTATATAGAGTATACACTAATATATCTCTTAATATACAGAATATGCACTAATATATCTCTTAACATACAGAGTATGCACTAATAGATCTCTTAATATACAGAGTATACACTAAAAGATCTCATACAGAGTATGCACTCATAGATCTCTTAATATTCAGAGTATAAACTAATAGATCTCTTAATCATACAGAGTATGCACTAATAGATCTCTTAATATACAGAGTATACACTAAAAGATCTCATACAGAGTATGCACTCATAGATCTCTTAATATTCAGAGTATAAACTAATAGATCTCTTAATATACAGATTATACACTAATAGATCTCTAATTATGCAGAGTATACACTAAAAGATCTCTTAATATACAGAGTATACACTAATAGATCTCTTAATATACAGAGTATACACTAAAAGATCTCATACAGAGTATGCACTAATAGATATCTTAATATACAGAGTATACACTAAAAGATCTCCTACAGAGTATACACTAATAGATCTCTTAATATTCAGAATATGCACTAATATATCTCTAAATATACAGAGTATACACTAATATATCTCTAATTATACAGAGTATACATTTACATAATATATTGATAATTTAATATGAATATTTTTAAAGGGACTGTCGAGATAATTTTCCAATTTAATCTGAATAGTTACCTACACCCAATTTACAACGGTCTTATATCTTGAAAAGAAATAAAAAAATAATTTTACAGAGAACATGTAATTTTAATTGATCAATTATGGATAGGGAAATAAAATATCTTTTACAATTTTGCTCGGAGAAAGGTAGAAAATTAATTCGATTATTAGACTCTTTACATAGAGGTTCAATTAAAATTTCTGTGACAATCTCTTTGAGAATATATTTTCAAAGTTAATTTTGTTTTTCTTACTTAGTTTTAATCGGTCCAGCGTCCCATAGGAGTTTTAGCTTCTGTGATACTAATCCTAAGAGTACAAACATTTTTGCGAAAAAATTCGAAATTTTGCGATTATTTTTTCGTATTTTGCTAATTTTTTTGCAAAGTTTTGCAATAATCTGTTTCGCGTAAAAATTTGAAATTTTCGCGAAACAAAAGTTTGCTGAATTTCACGAAAAAACGAAAATTGGCGCACTTTTCGCGAAATTTTCGCATTTTTACTGCTTTTTCTAGAGATATTTTTTCCGAATTGAATGCGAAAAAGTGCGAGATTTACGGCGAAAGAATAATTTTCGTGAAACGATTTCCCAATTTCAATGAAAACCTACCTGAGAGGAAGCTAACCAGACCATGAAGAAATAATGGGGTCTTGAATCTCAAAACATTCATCTGTAACAACATTAAAATATCAGAAAACAATGGAATAGGAGGACGAAATCAAGGCAATACTCACTAACTCACTTAAACCTTTGATTTTACCTCACAAACTCACTTAAACCTTTGATTTTACCTCACTAACTCGTTTAAACCTTTGATTTTACCTCACAAAATCACTTAAACCTTTGATGTTACCTCACAAACTCACTTAAACCTTTGATTTTACCTCACAAAATCACTCAAACCTTTGATTTTACCTCACAAAATCACTTAAACCTTTGATTTTACCTCACAAACTCACTTAAACCTTTGATTTTACCTCACAAAATCACTTAAATCTTTGATTTTACCTCACTTTGATTTAGCCTATGGATATACCTCTATAGATTGGTCCAGAATCTCTCCTTTCCATGCTGCAAGACTATGGTATCCCCCATCGCTCAACATGATTTCATTAAACACATTAGCAATCTCAGAGTGGTCTAGGAGATAAAATATCTTTAAATTGAGATAATGCCAAGAACTCTCACTTAGTTTGTTTCAAATAGATTTTCAAGTACAATAGGTGGCAACAGAGAAATGGATCAATTATACACGATTGCGACGTCACAAGTGTCAAATATAACAAGAAAGCGAAATTTTCTCACATTTGTTGACATGTTTTGCAAGATTAAAAAAAAAGTGTAAAAACTGACAATAAAGAACACATAAAATTTCACTTATTTTACTGTAAGATAAGTACTTTATTATTAATAATTAACAAAAACTAAGTTGACACTTGTGACGTCAGAATACAGCTGTATTCAGAGTGTACAAATTCTACGTTTCCATCTATTGTACTAGACTCTATTTTGTTTCAATTCAATTTATAAAAAAGATAAAGATTTTACTTGATTGAAACAGAAAACAGAGAAAAAGTAACATTTCAATAAAAAAATATGTCGGACCATAAAACAATAATAAAAGATATGCTGATATGGAAGAAACTTCAGATTCTAGGATAAACATGTTGAATTCAATTTCAAATTCACTTATATCATATGTTAGAATAGTTTTCTTTTGCGGAAATTGTTTTAAGCTAAAGAAAACATGGAGAAAAATGCTTAACTCTTTTTGCCATGAAAACGTCGAAATCTCCCAGTACATTTTCCATTAGTGTATAGCAGGGAATAAGAATAAAGGGAAAGGAAATGGCGCTGGTCTGGCATGAGAAAGCCAGTCGCACTGCTTTGCAGACGAGTTCTTTATTACACACGCACACTCTTTTGTTACAGCTACACACAACATGGCTACAGTCAAGGAAATTGCAGAACAATTTCGTCAATTATAAATAAGCTTGAATAACGAGTAGTTTATTGTAAACTTTAATCAAATTTAATTCTTTGTAGGAAAATTTGGCTTATAAGGTTGACTTAAATATATAAATAATATATTACATTTATATTTAACTTATTTTTAAGTAAACAAATAACAATAAACAAATATACTCTCCTAGACTGTACAAATACCGAGATTCTTTTGTACTGTATATATCTACAGTACACACCTTCTTTGGTTCGTTATTACTTACACACACTCTTTTGGTACAGACGCACGTTTTTGCAGACGAGTTCTTTATTACACACGCATACTCTTTTGGTACAGCTACACACAACATGACTACAGTCAAGGAAATTGCAGAACAATTTGTCGTCAATTTTAAATAAGCTTGAATAATGTGTAGTTTATTGTAAACTTTAATCAAATTTAATTCTTTGTATGAAAATTTGGCTGGTAGTGTTGGCTTAAATATATAGATAATATATTAAACTTATTTTTAAGTAAACAAATAACAATAAACAAATATACTCTCCTAGACTGTAGAAATACCGAGATTCTTACGTACTGTATATATCTACAGTACACGCCTTCTTTGGTTCGTTATTACTTACACACACTCTTTTGGTACAGACGCACGTGCGTATTTGCATGATGACGTTTCCGCCCCCTGGAGTATAGGTTTATAAGGATACTGGTATCCGTTGTGAATCGGATATGGTCCTGTTTAAATGAAGGTTCACTTGAAATTACAATGACAGTCATCACCTCTATTTTTCCACTCTTGTACATGATGTCCTGCTTCCTCAAGCTTCTCAGTAACCTCCCTGGAAGATGGAAGAATAAAAAAATTGATAAAAAAACAGTCGTTTCATACATGGTTACTCACAGAAGATAAAGCTTACAACACACTATAGTTTAAGTAGAAGTAAATATTTCCATTTACTGATAGCGCCGATTAAAGGATTCATAACTCTGATTGGATAATGAGATAGATAGAAAGATAGATGTTACCGCTATACTATTTCTATTGGTTAAGAATAGACAACAAACACATGACTGAACCCTGATTGGATCAGGCGCTAATGGATTCGGCATACAGGAGTGAACACGGCCTAAATTCTTAATTCAATTTTTTGGCACTGAAAGTCATTAGCTCTATCACGATGGGGAGGGGGGGGGGTCCACCCCTTCCTGTGGTTTTTTCTAAATAACTTAAAAACGGCTGACATTAGAATGCTAAAACTTCTTCTTTTTTCTTTAATGTAGTAAAGGGTGAAGGACAGTGAAAGGGCAGGTTGATATTTGAAAAAAAAATCAAAAATGGTTAAAAACTTTTTATTAATTAAGCTAAAGGGCTAAAATTTATATTTTGACAAATGGATGTATTATAATGTGTCACATGTTAATATTTGTCAAATGTAAAAATACTTATTTTTGAGCATTTTACGACGTACTTTTTGAACTGTTTATTAATGCTCCCTTGCACCCTAACCAATAAATAGATATGGTCTAATCTTAATAATGAGCAGGCCTTGAAAGTTGGACTAGGGACATGTATCTTAACTCTAAGGGACAAATCTAGGGGATGGGGGGGGGGGTTAGCCAATCTATATTTGATAAAAATATCCCAATCAGGATAGGGTTAAAAAAAAAAGAATCCTGACCATAAACTCAGATTTTCTTACTTCTGATTATTTCTAATTATTTTAAATCCAAATTTTTAGACCTTTGATATCTCAAACTGTGATTTGTATTTTATCAAATAATCTTAGTTAGAAATATCAAAGGTATAAAACATTAGGTTGCAAAGTTATAGGAATTATAAAATGTTAGTTTGTGATAAAAAAAATACAATAAGTGTGGTTACAGCAATAAGAAGTTGAAAATGTAGAAAAAAAAGTTATAAAAAACTAACCAATTTTTAAAAATATTTTCAATTTTTTTTTTTAACAATTATTCAAGAATTTTACATTAAAAATTATTGAAAAGCTGAACAAACTCATTTCAATAGAGTTGCAGTATTCCCTTTATTTAATAGTTCCTAATTATGAAAAAATATTTTTGTTTTCTAATTGTTTAATGTTTACCTAACAGCTCTCTTGCAGCCGGGTGTAGCGGGAAAAAATCCATCATAATCATACCAACCTATCCTTAGCTTCCGGCCAGGGGTATATAGGGATTCCTGGACACATGTCAAAAGGGATTTTAAGGAACCATCCGCGATTTAAGGAACGTTGATGTAATTTCAATTCATTTATTAAGTTATTCAATTTATCACGTGTCCATAAAATTTCTTTTTTTAAAATTAGGTTTCTTTATACAGTGACTTGCGGATTTTTTACTACAGAAAAAAAGGAAAAAATTGTGAGAATGAAATACTAGAAAATGATATATATCTTTCAACTTATTTAAGGTTATAATGCAAGGAAAGTTATTGCAGAGGTGTACGCATCTTTTGTACTACAGTGTACTGTCTCTGGTCTGGGCGGTAATGTAAACACAAGAGGGATGTCACAGCCTGACATGTGATCCATTTTTCACATAAAAAATCAATGAAATATTCTGGTCATAGGAAACTATTAGTAAATTATCAAAATTATCAAAATTAAATGCTTTTATTCTCCTCGGATACTAAACGAACATTGATGCATCTATTCTTGTTTACAAATCCCGCCCAGAGAGAACTGGTTTCAATATGTACGCAGAGTAAACGAAACTGCAATTAACTTTCCTTGCATTATAACCTTGAAATTATCGAGTTTAAAACAGCTAATCTTGAAATTGATGATCACATTAAATATCAAGATATAATTCCTTTGATTTTTAATCTTTTTCTTCGGCCATGTGTTTTTTTCTACAAGAACAACCTGTGAATTATTTCAGTGAAGAAGAGAAAAGTTATGTATTTTTGCATTTAAAAGTTATGAAATAATTTATTTAAGAGCCACATAAAATCACATTATTCAACATTTACTCTTTTTATTAATAATTAGAATTTTTTAAGCATTTAGTTAAAAAATACACTTTCTTTATTTTGTGTCTTTCATTGGAATCTTTCAATTTTGGAAAACGTTTTGTCAATAAATTTGAAATGAAGAATATTTTTAATTTTATTTTGAAATGTGATCTATTTAAGTGACCCAACCTGCCATTGTAGAGGAATAACCATCCAATCTTCGATACTCATTCTCCTGAAAGGAACTGTAGACGTAATTTCAAGCTAAGTTTCATGTCCGATTCAGAACAGTACCCTCAAAATTGACTGAGATATTCAATAAAAAAGGTTCTCGCATTTTTAGATTTATGATTTAAGATGGAACGAAAACTTTCGCGAACAAGTGCAAAAATATTCGTTCGTGTTTTGCAAAGTTTTTCTGGAAATTTCGCGTTTTTTCGCAAAAATGAATTAAGCAAAAAATACGAAAACAATGCGAAATTTCGCGAAATAAAACTTTCGCGAAAACCATAAGTGTTGTAGCTGAAACAATTACTGGCGCAACAAAAGGAAACGAAATTTCGCGACAAAAAAATTTTTTCGGATTTTTCTCGAGCAAACGAAATGGGAAAAAATGCGAAATTTTCGTGAAACGAAACGCGTGAGAGAAGAATTTAGTCGTTAAAAATATCTTACATTTTTTCAGAAACAATATACCGAATATTTAAATGAAATTAACCAAAAAGAATTAACATTTTCAAAGCAAGACTCTTTTATAATGCACTGAATACAGGGTGTCATTAAATTTCATTTTTAATCTAATTAATTCTTTAAAAATACCGGGTGACCCTACTTTTCATTCTTTAAAATACAGTTTGTCCCCATCAACCTAGAATTAGGTAAACAAGTTCAAATCGTCTATATAATGGATTCTATGCTTTGTAGTTTTATTCATTTTGATTTTCCTGAGAATTCCATATTTTGTCAAAATTGACAGATATTGTGCAATTGGTTTAGATTTAAAATGTTCAATTTTTGTTACCTGGCATTTTCCAGCAGACATTGCATTCCAATTTGTATTCCGGATACAGTTATATATTCATGTATCCAGGATACAGTAGCTGACATAAACCCAGATACAGATAGGATACATGGGGTCTAAATATATTCATTTATCAAGGATACAGTTGCTGACATAAACCCAGCTACAGATAGGATACAGGGTTTACATATATTCATGTATCCAGGATATAGTAGCTAACATAAACCCAGCTACAGATAGGATACATGGGGTCTAAATATTTTCATGTATCCAGGATACAGTTGCTGACATAAACCCAGCTACAGATAGGATACATGGGGTCTAAATATATTCATTTATCCAGGATACAGTTGCTGACATAAACCCAGCTCCAGATAGGATACAGGGTTTACATATATTCATGTATCCAGGATACAGTAGCTGACATAAACCTAGATACAGATAGGATACATGGGGTCTAAATATATTCATGTATCCAGGATACAGTTGCTGACATAAACCCAGCTACAGATAGGATACAGGGTTCACATATATTCATGTATCCAGGATACAGTAGCTGACATAAACCCAGCTACAGATAGGATACATGGTCTAAATATATTCATGTATCCAGGATACAGTTGCTGACATAAACCCAGCTACAGATAGGATACAGGGTCTAAATATATTNACATAAATACAAACCTCAAGAACAACAACATCATAAGTAACAACAACCACAACAAAAACAATTACAAAAACAAAAACAACAACAACTAAACAATAACAAGAACAACAACAAAAACAACAACATTAACAAAAACAAAACAACCACAACAAAAACAAAAACAACAACAAAAATAGCAACAACAAAAACAACTACATCATCAACATTTGAAACCACAAGAATAAAGTAAGAACCAGCACTTAAAAAAAAAGATAACAATTAAACAAAAAAATAGAAGATACAAAAACTGAAAAAATTTATATGTTTGCAAAATGTTATCTTACGAAAACAATTGTGACTTTTTGTTTTCAGTAAAAAAAAATTGTTAAACATTGAGATATAATAGGTTAACATTGAGATATATATTTGGTTTATCGATCGATCATAAAACTAAGATCTTTTGTATACATTTACAATTTCCTGTAATCCATTAAACCAAATTCATATTCATCATATTTCATGACTTTTAGGTCGTCATTGAAATCTCATTCTTTGTGTGTAACCCTGTACCTTGGTAAATTCTTCCATTGGTTGGTTTCAGTCCAACCACGCCACTGAAGTGGGATGGAATTCTAATAATAATATATTTTCCAGATGTTTAAAGGGACTGGGGGCGAAATTTCAAGTGACCAACAATTTAAAAAGTGCCATATGTCCGATTCACATCTAGGAATGAGAAATTATTTGAGAGTTTTGGACTAGTTCTTCGAAAATCAAAACATTTTTACAAATTTCAAAATTGTATTTTTTTAAATGATCACTTTAAATTACGTCACCTAGGCTGCAGTTCCTTCTCTGGAACTTGTTGATTGCTATTAGAATTACAGATAAAATACAAAATAAATTTTTGTGGAATGTCTAGGCTGCATCGCAATTAGGGATGGATCGTTTTTACTTTTTTGAAAAAATGATCGTTTTTTATAAAACGGCGATAAAAATGAAAATTGTAAAGGTTGTTTTTAAAAACGATCGTTTTTGAAAAAATTCTTCGTTTTGTTAACGAAAATTGGTTGTTTTTAATTTTCAACGATCGTTAACTATCGTTAATGACGACCCTTCATTAAAGATTGTTAACGACGCAGCCTAGACATTCCCAATAAAAGTTATTTTGTGTATTTCTTCTTTTTTTACAAAGATAATATAAACTTGGAAAATATATTTCCTCAAGCTACCACCAATATCAGAACCAATTCCTGGTTTTAAAAAATAGATTTTGATAAAGTTTTTATTTTAATAACTGTTTGAAAGAAAATAGAAATTTTTCGGACATTTTGATAAATTTTGGGGTAAACTAGACTTACTGAGACATGTCTGCCATTTATTAAGCCTTTATCTATTTAAAGCACAAGTTTGAAAAAGTAAAATTATCTGTTAACAATTAAAAATTCTAGACATTTTTTTCTCGTCTATTTCTGATCCCTAAAAGTGATGCACCAGCAGCAATAAGGGCCCCCTCACCCCCTGAAGAACCCCCAGGAGTTCTCAGTAGATCATGAGGATTACAAGTGTTTCCTGCAATTTTTTTATTATACAGTGTGTCCCAATGATCATGGGAATGAAATGACGACTTCTATATCTTCTTTGTTTAACACGGGGTTATTTCGTTAATATAATCTTGTAATATTCCAGTCAAAACATTTAACACAGAAAACTAATAGTCTCAGGATTTTCAAAATGTGATTAACCATATATCTTGAAAATTGACGGTGACGTTAGGAATTTATCCAGATTCCAGTTTATTAAAAAACCAACATAACGGTTCTAATATTTAATAACTTGGTCAATTTAAAGATAAAAAGAAGGTAGACTACATTTTGGAAAGCTCATTAGACTTTCAATCTTTTTTTGATGCTCTTTATGTCATTTATTAATTATCAAAAATCAAAGACGATATTCAAGTCTTCTCTAAATTCCCATGTTTATTGGGACAACCTGTATCATTAATTTATAAAAATCCGTTTTGCCCCGATAGCTTTATTTTCAATGGACAGAACAAAATTTTAAAAGATCCGTTATATTTTATAATCACATAATTAACCAATAACGATTTACATATGGTTTTAATTTATCTATGTAAATAATTCAAAATCTCTTGAAAAATGATTAAGAAGAAACATGTGCAGTCACATGCTAATATCTATCACATTATTGTTTAGATAAAAGTTATATGGATACCCTTGTGAATAATCGGGTATTGCTATTGAAAGGAGAGTGACTTGAACTTACGCTTCCAGTCCTTGTCATGGGAAACTTACGCTTCCAGTCCCTGTCATGGGAAACTTACGTTTCCAGTCCCTGTCATGGGAAACTTACGCTTCCAGTCCCTGTCATGGGAAACTTACGCTTCCAGTCCCTTTCATGGGAAACTTACGCTTCCAGTCCCTGTCATGGGAAACGCTTCCAGTCCCTGTCATGGGAAACTTACGCTTCCAGTCCCTGTCATGGGAAACTTACGCTTCCAGTCCCTGTCATGGGAAACTGACGCTTCCAGTCCCTGTCATGGGAAACGCTTCCAGTCCTTGTCATGGGAAACTTACGCCTCCAGTCCCTTTCATGGGAAACTTACGCTTCCCGTCCCTGTCATGGTAAACTTACGCTTCCAGTCCCTGTCAAGGGAAACTTACGCTTCCAGTCCCTTTCATGGGAAACTTACGCTGCCAGTCCTTGTCATGGGAAACTTACGCTTCCAGTCCCTGTCATGGGAAACTTACGCTTCCAGTCATTGTCATGGGAAACTTACGCTTCCCGTCCCTGTCATGTTAAACTTACGCTTCCAGTCCCTGTCAAGGGAAACTTACGCTTCCAGTCCCTTTCATGGGAAACTTACGCTGCCAGTCCTTGTCATGGGAAACTTACGCTTCCAGTCCCAGTCATGGGAAACTTACGCTTCCAGTCTCGGTTATGGGAAACACTGTACTTACCATAAACTGGATTACTACAGCTGTAGGAAACCATCGTTTGAGGTATGTTAGTCAAACAGAACGGGATTCCGTGGGCATCCTGAAAATAATTATTGCTTTTATGTTTATCCTACAGTCGTAGTCGTAAATATCAATACAAGGAGGACGACTTTCAATTTCAATTTTTATTTCTTAAAGCTTTTTAACAGCACATGGTTAAATATTATCATGATAATAAAGTAAAGTTATCAAATAGCAGCTTCTCTTTATTTTCATGTTAACTCGTAAATCGAAAAAAGCTTGTAAACATCAACACTTAATAAAAAAGTCGTCTTCATTATACTGTATATCAAATCATTGGTCGAATGTTCGTCTTATATAAAAACATCACTGGTTTATTGACCGTTCCTTATACAGTCATTAGTCAAAAAACAATTCTAAATACCATCCTTGGTTTTATAAAACAAAATATAAAATAATAAATGGCAAAATAGCAAAAAAATAATAATTGGTCTAATTGACCATCCTAAAGATTATTATGGTACTATGACTATCCTTAATATTGTTGGTCTAATGACCATCCTAAATATAGTCATTAGTCATAATGGCCATCCAAAATATATTCATTAGTCTAATGACCATCCTAAATATAATCATTAGTCATAATGGCCATCCAAAATATATTCATTAGTCTAATGACCATCCTAAATATAATCGTTAGTCTAATAACCATCCTAAATATAATCAGCGGTCTAATGGCTATCCTAAATATAGTCATCAGTCTAATGACCATCCTAAATATAGTCATTAGTCTAATAACCATCCTAAATATGGTAATTAGTCTAATGACCATCCTAAATATAATCATTAGTCTAATAACCATCCTAAATATAGTCATTAGTGTAATGACCATCTTAAATATAATCATTAGTCTAATAGCCATCCTAAATAAAGTCATTAGTCTAATGACTATCCAAAATATAGTCATTAGTCTAATGACCATCCAAAATATAGTCATTAGTCTAATGACCATCCTAAATATAGTCATTAGTCTAATGACCATCCTAAATATAATCATTAGTCTAATGACTATCCAAAATATAGTCATTAGTCTAATGACTATCCAAAATCGGGCATTAACATCTTTGAATGTCGAGGGTTACTTGAAATTACGAATCCAGTTCCTTTTTTGTGATCAATAGAGTTATAACATTGTGTGTTGATGACGGACCTATAACCTCATATAGAGAGTTAATTAAGTAGATGTTAGTTCCACATTTTATTGAGAATATACATACAGTGTACAGTGAAACCCTTAATAAAGAATACATCGAAAGAATTTATCAAATGTCGTCTTAACAATTTTTCAATGAGTTTTATACTATATTACGTAAATTTCAGTATTTGCGAAAATAAATAAATAGCCATGATTATGAGGGAACAGTTTTAAAGAGTTCCATATAATCATTTAATTAAAAAACTAAATATCTGCAACATTCCATTATCAGAAAGTGATGAATACGACATTTGCTGAATTCTTTCGATGTATTCGTTATTAAGGGTTTCACTGTATATAACCGGAAAACTGTAGAATAGGAAGACGACATTAAAGCAATACTGAATTGCAAATTTGATGTTGTTACAAAACAAATAGATTTACTAGTGAGTTATTAAATAACTTATTAAGTGAAATGAGACTGTTTACACTGCACATTTGCTGTGCCTCATAATCATTGGACTGTTTAATGTCAAAACTTGAGTCCAAATGTCGACTTCCTATTCCAGAGTTTTCTAGTTATCAGTGTATTTTGGTCTGGGTTGACCCTTGTCAGTTTTTGAGATTGTTTCTGTCATGAAGATTAAAAACAAACTCGTTTGTTTAGGACTAAGAGGTTAAACAACGGAAACAATATTAGAAAAATTAATATAACTTAAAAAAATAGCATTCAATAAAACAATGAAAAATAACATAAATAAGAAAGAACAAAAATAAGAACAAAAAAATCAAACGAAAAATAATCAAAGAAAAAAGATCGAAAAAAAACTAATAAAAAACGTGAAAAAGCAACAAAATATAAAAACGAAAATTAACTTAGACTATAAACAACAAACATAAAAATAGAAAATAAAAAAATACTAAAAAAAAATGAAAGTGCCACAAAATCTTAACCTTGATGAACTTGACGTAAGGTGAATCCTCCAAAGCTGGTTTATTGATCAGTCCACTCAAACCTGGGATAATTTATAAGATCATTAATTTTCAAGGCGACATTATAGACAATCGTTTTCAAGACGACATTCTAGGATGGGAGGATTTAATTTTCAAGACGACATTATAGACGCTCGTGCATTCATTTATAAAGGATATAATGTAGTACTTACAGTGATGCCCAAAACAACTGTGGAATAGGAAAATGTTTTTTAAATACACTGCAAAGTTAATGCAAGATGAACATGTTGATATCTAGTTAATTTAGGTTATCATTAATTAAAGTATGCAAGGTGTTTTAATAGAATTAATATGTGCTTACCTCTACTAAGAGTAAATATGGAAAATTGCGCAAAACATATTTACAATGAATTTACATTGTACACTATGATCTAGCCAGGCTACATTTGCTGCATAAAACGTGCTGGGTCGACTTTACACCATGGACAGTACGATGAACTGCATAAACGAGCGGGGGAAGGCAGGCGGCCATGAGCCACTACTACTTCCCCTTCCGTGCCTCATATTAGCTTTTTGAAAATGAAATGAATGAAATTTTTGACAAATTTGACTGAGTATTGCATCTTGAAATATCACAAAGTTGGCTAATGAGTGATTTTAAGATGGATTTAGTATAATGAGTCAGTAATAGAATAATCATTAGACTTTGTGATATTTTACGATACAATACTCAGTCAAATTTGTCAAAAATTTCATTGTAAAACAGTTTAAGAATTCAACACATAAAATATTAATCTTAAGTAGAATTGAAAAATGGTTTGAGTTGTGCTGGATTTTCTAAAATCACACTTTAAAGGCCCTAAATATACCATTTAAAAAGTAGTTTTGCCCGGAAGAGTCAAATGTGGTGGTACTGAAGGGGAAATAGTGGTGGCTCATGGCTGCAAGAAGAGAAAAAAGCTAATATGTGGCACGGAAGGGGAAATAGTGGTGGCTCATGGCCGCCTACCTTCCCCCGCTCCATAGACAGTACGTGTTGTATCGGGCGGATTATGCAACTTTTATTCTAGGGTATGCAAGATAAATTTAACAATGAAAAAATAATTTCAAGCTTTTTTATGCAATAAAAACCGTAAAAAAATAGAAAATAAAAAATTGTACAGTTCCCGAATTTAAAGAATTTGAGCAGCGGTTTAAATTTAAGCCGCGGTTTAAATATGGTTGGTTCCACTTAAAATTGTACCAAATGTTTCAAGATTTAAGCCGGCGCTTAATTTAAACCGGGTTTTGGTGGATTTAAACCGCGGGTTAAATTCTTTAAATTCCATCTCAGAAGTATTCAATAAAAATCAAGTTATTAAGATAAATTAAAAATCTTACCGATAGTTGCATCATAGCCTTTCACGAAGAAACACTCTTTCACAGATATAGGAAGACCATACAGAGAACCTCTTCCAAATAAACAGGTTAAAATATAGTTCCTGATTAAACATGTTTGCAGTTTAACCCTATGCCGGTGGGAGGGGAAGTCATTCCTTCAGGAGCATATTCAGGAATTTTGTAGCCCAAAAAAATTCTTAAAAACCACAGATTTCGCTGGCCCAGTGGGTGGCCTGAGCCCCAATAGCCCCCCCTCATCCCTGAATACGCCTCTGATCTCCCCCTGTGTTTTTCTACATAACTTAAAAACGGCTTACACCATAACGCTAGAGTGCTCAAACTTCTTAACTTTTTTAACTTCATAATTTGTTATACACTACACACCTATCATCAAAATATGTTTAATGCTTTGGTTAGGGTAGAAGACGGTCAAACTCAAACGCCTGATCGGTGTTTCAAAAAAATCAAAAATAGTGTTTGACTTTTTTATTATTTTAGCTACAGATCTAAAATGAACTAATTTAAAAATAGTGTTTGACTTTTTTATTATTTTAGCTACAGATCTAAAATGAACTAATTTAAAAAGCTNAAAACAAATAATTGTCTAACCTCTGTTCGATAGGAACATTTTTTAGCCCCTCGGCCCAAGAAGTTGCTTCAAGGATAAAATCACAAACAACGTTGATCTTCTCGTCCACAGACAATGCTTTAGCCTGGAACAGAAACAATAGATTAGCTTAGTACCTTCAAGAGGGATATTCCCGATTTACAACGGTACCCTATACCTCACTTTTCTAGAAGCGCTGGAATATTTGTGTTGCGTTGGGCATAGCATAGTTCGGGTTTTCAAGGAATAACTGTGACGTCATTCGCGTTGAGTTCACGCGCAGTATGCTAGCGTACACTTCAATTGTACGGCTTTTTACAGAGACAGTAGAAATACACTAAATTCTTTGTCCTCAATGATCAGTCAAAGGTTTAAAGGGGATTATTGTGAATCGGGGATGGGCCTCTTTAAATGGAAGGTTACTTAAAATTACGCTTACAGTCCCTTTAAAATTGTCTACCTACCTACCTACCTACCTACCTACCTACCTACCTACCTACCTACCTACCTACCTACCTACCTACCTACCTACCTACCAACCTACCTACCTACCTACCTACCTACCTAATGCAAGAATATGTTTTCTATCCACTGTAATCAATTCCCCTTCCACCATCAGTCTTAAACAATAAAAAATTGGTAACCGCCAAAAAAGTGCTCTGAAAAAAGTCCTAAATTTTGGCACTAAAAAAGTCATGTGTATAAAAAAATTTGGTATGGTAAAAGGCTTTTCATAAATGTATATTTTATCATTTTTGGACATTTTTTTTAAAACATTTTTACTATAAAACTGGTTTTTGCAAAAAAAAAGTTTTGGGGTTACTAACGATGTATTATTTGTCATATTTGGACATCAAACATAGGATTTAGAGGGGGGTGGGGGGCAAATTGACAACCCCCCAGCGTATCCTTGTTTTTAAGTACCCAAGCAGGGCCGGGTTAATTTTTATTTTCTAGAACTTTTTTTCTGGCTCCAGTATGATTTTATACAAAAAAAATTTCATGTAAAAAAGTGGCCTCGTATAACGAAAAATGCATGGGATTAAATAACCATTGAAAAAAAGACTTGACATAAATAACGCCCCTGGCTATATTTAATATGCAGATGTAAAGGTGAAAAGTCCTTTTTATGAAAACGTCTAAAAATTCACCTCATTTTCACAAGACTTAGGAATTTTTTTAGGACTTTTTTAGGACTTTAATTCCTGTGATTTTATTTGCTGAGACTTTTATGGCAGCCCCATATTTTAGGAAAAAAGTCACAGGAATTTAAAATTTAGGACTTTACTTTCATTGAGATTTTGTCATAGGTCTTCAGAAAAATTGGGACTTTTTCACCAAAGTTTTTATTTCCAGGTTTTTTTTCCGGAAACTTTTATTTCCTGTGACTTTCTTACATTATAGCTAGATTAAAAATCGTTAAAAATCATTAACATTTTAGGCGTTTGATAAAATTTGTTCTCTAGTACCTTCAAGAGNCCCTCTCCCCCCCACTACCCCTCTTCCCTTTCCTCTTACCTCTGCGTCAAATCGTCTTTCCTTTTCTGCACAATTTCCCTTTTTGCTTCAATTTTCTTTCTAAAAAACAAGAATTATTCAAAATCAAGTTTTTAAATATTATAATTTTCTTATTTAATTTTACCTTGTTTGTCTTTTCCTGTCTCAAATTATTTTGAAAACAAACCATGATTTAGTTTAAAATATTATTGTGTCAACTTGATGTATACGGTACACCTATGTAATGACCTAATCATTTCTTATATTTTAAATGTAGTAATTTTTTATTCAATTTTTTCTGTAAATGAAAATTGTGAATTCATACATCTTAAGAAATGCCATTCAAAAAGGCCAAAAAACGTCGACTTAAGAAAAATGTCTTTTAAAAAAAATGTCAATAATAATTATAAAATTGATTATTAACATTTATTAATGAAAAGATTTAAAATCAATTAATATTTGTTGATATTTAAAAATTATTTTCTAAATGTTCCTGGCACTATCTATTGTCTTGGAAGAGATAAGTGCGACAAAAACAGCTCCCAAGACACCAGCACTTATATCCCTAAATAAAATTTTTTTTTGTGAGATTTTGAATTTTGGACGCTTCCCGCCACTTTTTCATGCTTTACCTGGTAGAGAAACCCATAGGAAAATACTTTTCAAAAAATTCCAACATATTTCTAGAATTTCTATAAAATCTAACTATTTTATAATTTCTTGTGTTTCTAGAATTTCTATAAAATCTAACTATTTTATAATTTCTTGTGTTTCTAGAATTTCTATAAAATCTAACTATTTTATAATTTCTTNTTTGATGGAGACAAATATTTGAAATTTTTATTTTTCATAAACCTTCCCTGGGGTCCCTAGATGTCCCACAAAAAAATTGGGCCCGATCGGTTCAGCCGTTTTGACGTTTATTGGATACAAACAAACAAACAAACAAACACCAAGACAGATAAACAGACAAGCCAAATTCATATATAGATTATACGTAAAATTCAGTAATTACAAAAATAAATAAATAGCCATAAATATGCGGGGACAGTCTTAAAGAGCTCCATATAATCATTTAATTAAATATCTGCAGGATCCCATTATCAGAAAGTTAAGAATGCAACTCAAGTTATGATTTTAAATACCCCAATGAAAAACAATAAGAAAAAGAAAAATGCCGTCTTTCTCCCACAGTTTTGTGAGTTTCACTGCATGCAATTAAGTTTACAGGGCATCTATAGTTTGTTTGTCACTAACTGAAGGTTTTATATTTTACCAAATGCAATTGTTATCTTTGAAACAGTTTCTTATCTTTGTGATTAAATATTACAAATAACAAGTTTGAAAACATGGTTTCAAGTTATTGGGTGAAATTGGAAAAAATCTTAATTATTTGTAAATATACATTTTTTATGTACATACAGTTATCGCCATATATATGATTACAATGAAAACGACTTTCTACCAATCTTTCAAAAAGCTGATACTCATAAACATATAAATAAAAAGAAGTTGCCAATTAACAGGTTGTATACTTGTAATCTTGTAATTTAAAAATGCTCATTGGGGATTTAAGCGTAATTATAAAAATTTTGGCAAGATCGGTTCACCCGTTTTGACGTTTATTGGATACAGTTCCAAACAAACAAACAGACAAACTAAATAGATGGAGAGGTTCAGGCAAATACAGGGCCAACCATTGTTCTTTTGCTGAAAAAATATCTACGGTTGTCCACCTTTTGGAATCTATCGTTTTTGCTTGTTGTTGTTCAATCGTATAGCACAAAATTAACGTTTTTTCTATTATCATTATATAATTATTATTTCAAGACCGCAGTTTGTGATTTGGGAAAGACAATTTTGTAGATTTTATACTTTTGGCTTGAAAATATCATTTCATACAGTCAGAAACATAGGAAATATAAGACTCAGCTATAATCATTTCACTTAATATGTTTAGCTTCAAGGTAATGTAAAACTATTTGCTGTGTAACAACATCAAATACATTAATTATTGCTTAAATCTCGTTATACTGTGTTCCTAGTTATCTGATTCTCACTTTCAGATTTTTATATAAAACTTTTTGTTTATTTTTTTTACACAAAAAACAAATGCCAACTTACAACTGTCAAACCACATGCAAGTTGGCTGGAATTGCAGTAAAGCGGATGTCAAATCAAATATATATATTTGTCTCAAGCATGTACATACAGGGTGCACCCACATCAAATTAGACCGTGTCAATGGGTCTAATTTACGATTTGGGGGACAAATCAGAAAATTTAAGAACGATGAATCATTTTGAAAAATTTGATAAGACTAATAGAAATTTTTTTTTGCAGAGAATGNTTAGAAAGGACATTTCATAGATAGGACATTTCATAGATAGGGCATTTTATAGAAAGGAAATTTCTTAGATAGGACATTTCATAGATTGGACATTTCATAGATAGGACATTTCATAGATAGGACATGTCATAGATAGGACATTTTATTGATAGGACATTTCATAGATATAACATTTCATAAGTATGACATTATATAGATATGACATTTCATATGTAGAAAAAGAAATTCAAAGCTATCCATAGTTTGGATGGTGGCCTTAGCTGGGTTGACATGGAGTTTAGTGATATTGCTAAAAACAGGTTATCAATTTCCAATGTTAAATGCTGCAAACTATTTTTTTTTATAACCGATAAACTTCAGAACGGCTGAACTGATCTGGTCCAAATTGGTTGTGGGACCTCACACGACCTCAGGGAATGTTATGGATGGTTAGATTTGAAAAAAATGCAGGGAAAAAAACTATAAATTTTCTGAGGGGTCAATCATATGAAATACTGAAAAATATGGGTTTGATCCATTCCGCCTTTTTGACAATTTTTAGTAATAATACGTGTCAAATATCTTTATGTAAATAAAAAGACTTTTGTAATAATCGCTAAATTACATTTTTTCTTGTTAAAATTTGTGACAAGATTTGTGTGTGTATTTAAACAGATCAGAATTCAATTTCCTCAATCTCAGATAACTATAGAAAACGTCAAAACAAGTTTGACATTAATATTATTATAAATCAAAGTTGTTCATTCTTGCCTTGTATTCTTCAATACCCCCCCTCCCTCTCAATCCTCCTTCAAGATGATATAGGCAATTCTTTTTGTACTAATTGGCGGTACAATTTTAAATAAGATTTAAATATTACACACTATTGTAACAAATTCAAGGAAATACGAAGACAATTACCAATGTGCAGCGCAGTTGACCGTGCAACAGTCACAATGCATTAAACTATTTCCGCTCCAAAATGTGTCTCCTAATGTTCTCCCCCCCCCCCCCTCCTTCACCACCTCTACTCGTGGAGAGCAGCGTGAGTTAGCTTTAGAACGTAGAAATGCGAACACCTCCGATCAGGAACTACTAACTCCTACATACTGCGGCAAATGTCTACTCTAGCAACAAATGCTGCTAGTCTAAGCCTCCAGATGTCCAAAACCACAAAGCAGTCGCATGTTCTGTGGTATGAGAGGCAAATCGTTCCTCCCCACACATGTTAGAGACTAACATGTGTGCGAGACTGCAAACCCTCCAGGACCATCGCCTAGATGGTGAACCCTTTGCTGCCAAGATGCTGACACCTGCGAGCTGACCATCATGAAGCTTCAACTGTTCCATACCTTTCAACACTAGTAATCAATTTTATTTTATTTTCAACGGTTTAGATTCTCCCAATAAGGGCAAACATTTTTAAACTTTACTTTAATTTCTGATTTCATGCTATTATTCAATAAAGTTACCGAATATCCCTTTAGTTCTTTATATTTGTGTCAGCAACTATGGTTTTCTAGCTGAAATATCGTCTCACCCTTTGTAGCTAATCCTGTATTATTACATGGGATTTTTAACTTTACTCTATAAATCATTACAAAGATAAGAAATAATCTTTTTTTTCGTTTTTTAATAAATACTACTTTGTTTTATTAACAATTTTGCTGAAAGTTTAGGAATATTTTAGTAATTACTTAGATTGTAAATTCTTAAGAAATAATTTCACTTAGAATTTCAAATTTACTTCATATATTATGAATTTTTTGTTTGATGGATCTTTCGTGTATTCTTGATTCAGACAGCGTTAAGGTTACCGTTGTTAATAATACATGCCATTCTAGAAATAGAGAGTCATTTAAAATAATATTTTTACAGTTCCTTTAAATATATATTCCTGAATATATTTAAGATGAAAGGTTTAAGCTTTGATCTCGGTTGTTGGGGAATCAAGGTATACATGACACAGATTTACAAATATATAAATATACATCATATATAGAAGGGGCAAAACAGTTTTTTGACATCAATTAACTAAAAAAATTGTCTTACACTTGGAATTAGGCATAAAAAACCTTTTTTGGACTTCGGAGTAAAAGCAAAAAATTTTTTTACCGTAACTCGCAATTTTTTAACATTTTTTTAAACATTTAACTTATGCATTTCTGCCATTTTATTAAACATACTTTTAAAAAGTAGAGTACAATTTTGAGTTTGTAAATTGATTTCAAAAAATATAAATTTATTACCCAAAGGTTTGAAAATGCACACCAACCCCATAATTTCTTGAATTCCACAGTTGCTGTTTTATAAGGAAATAGAATATTAATGACCTTTGATAAAGTCATTTATTTCTTTCTTACAAATAAGTAATGATGTTCTTCAATCTTGATAAAACTAGATTATACTAAGCTTCTTCACCCTGTATAGACTCATCAGATTATTTGAACACAATTTAATTTAGCATAAAAAAATCTGGTTCGCATGATTTCGTGTTATTGTTCCACTTTTTAATTTAAAAAAAATCATTTTGATTTGTTAAAACCGTATTCTGGACACAGGTGCAGTGTCAGAAAAATGGCACATGTCCTCAATTTTGTTTTAGTCTTAGTTGGGTTCGCAGTTTTTATTTTTATTTTAATTTTCTTTTTAGTTATTGCTTGGCATTTTAACTCCATCTTATATTCCAATATTTAAAGGTACTAAAGATCGTGATTTTATTTGACCCTCTACTTTAAAGTCCGCTTCTAAAATGTACTCTTAAAACCTTGGAATAAATGAGATATATTATAGAGGATATGAAATCCCCAAAAGAGGATTATGAAATCTGCAAAAAGTTATATCCTGGAACCAGAGTAGATAGACGTAACTTCCTCTCCTTTTATACACTCGTTATTTATCATGTATTTACAACTAGAAGCAATAAATGTACTTCTAAAGTTGGGACTTTTGTAGAGGATATGAAATCCCCGAAAGAGAATTATTAAATCAGCAAATGAGAATAGTCGGATCCTGGAACCAGAGAAGATAGACTTAACTTCCTCTCCTTCTATACACTTGTTATTTATCATGTATTTACAACTAGAAGCAATAAATGTACTTCTAAAGTTGGGACTTTTGTAGAGGATATGAAATCCCCGAAAGAGAATTATTAAATCAGCAAATGAGAATAGTCGGATCCTGGAACCAGAGAAGACCTACTCACCCCCTCTCCTTTTATATACTTGTTATTTATCATTTATTTACAACTAGAAACAACAAATCTTCTAAAATTTCCTATTTTTCTCATCAAAAAGTATTATTTTCAATTGTGGTCTCTGTAAAAGTGATTTCCAGAAGTTCAGAAGCCGAGAGGATGGAAGGAAATAGTCAGAATCAAACACTTTTTTTTTA